AGAGAGAGAGGGCGCGCGCGTACGAGTGGGGGGGAGGGGCAGAGGGAGAGGGAGAAGCAGACTCCCTGCTGCTGGATCCCAGGACCCCAAGATCGTGACCTCATGACCGGAGCCCAAGGCAGACGCTTAACCTACTGAGCCACCCAGGCACCCCAAGACTTGGTAATTTTTTAATAAACGCTTTTAGTTATGACAATCTCTTCTTTGTTCTGTTTTTTGCAGATGTATACAGATTGCCTTGAGGAACCCCAATATTCATTATCTACTATGGACCGCTCTTTCCCATTACATTTCACTCTCTGTAACTGGGAGAATTTTTTTTTTTTTAATTTTAAGTAATCTCTACACCCAATGTGGGGCTCGAATTTACAACCCCCAGATCAAGAGTCGTATGTTCTACCGATTGAGCCAGCCAGGCGCCCCTGGGAGAATTTTTAATTCCTAAGGCACCTGGTTGAGAATTATTTTCCTGTGTACAATAAGGAATTCCAAGAAAAAGGAATAAAAGGAAGTCCTGATTACCAATGCTATTGACTAAAGGGTCCCAGCAACTTGAAGGGGGTAGGGGTTGCATAATTTGGAGAAAAATGCTCTGGGCTCATTTGAAAGTAGTAACACATAACTTCTCTTCACCTCCATTTTCTTATTCATCGGTGTCAATTCTAACTCTCCATGAAAATTAGAGATCCTAAAGCAGTTCCTGAAGCTATTAAATGAACGATGTTTTTTTAATGACCAAAAGATCACCTGTACCCGTAGTTCCAAATGTCAGTCTTCAGACCAATGTTAGCCTTTGCAAAGTTTACACCCACCCAGGAAAAAATGCGAAAAGAACCAAAATGTGCTGGTTTTTCTCAAAAAGCAATAAAACTGAAATTGTTTTCTTTTGTTCTGGGAGTATGTCCTCTTTCCCCATGTGTGTGTGGTGGGGGGTAGTATTAAATTTTCCTTTATTAGAGTTTGATGCTGATAAATGTTTATTAATGTCTTACTGACCCAAATAAAAGCATAGCAACCTTATACTGACCCAAATAAAAGCATAGCAACCTTATACTATCCAGGGGAAGTAGTGGCACGACTGACCTGGAAAATCTAAACATCGACGAAATACTGGCCAATCCAAACCCAACTACAGACAAGTACTCAAGAAGACTACATACTTCAGCATGCACTGCGAATCCCTTCAAAGGAACTACAGATCCAGGCATGCAATACAGCTATCAATCAGCGTCCCCGTCTATTCATCTACGGAGACTACAAAGCCCAGGGTACTATGCGTGGAAATGTGACGCCCTATTCTTAAATTAGGCGGGGCTTCGGAGCTGCCTGGCGCGTTATACTCAGGTGCAAGGCATGCTGGGGGTTGTAGTTCTTTGGAGGCGAGGTCGGGCCGCTCCCTGGATGCCCTGTGCCGGCGGCTAGACTGCGCATGCGTGTCAGTGGCGTTAGCAGCGGACCCGGCTGGCAGTTCCTTCCTCGGAAGGAAAGATTCTTCTGCCATGGAGTCCTACGATGTGATCGCCAACCAGCCTGTCGTGATCGACAACGTGAGTTGCGTCTTTCCTTCTCTAAACGGATTTATTCTCTTTTCCCCAAAGGGATCGCTTCCCGGGTTTCGGCCTGGGCCACCGGCTCTTTGTCACTGGCCCAGCCTGTCAGGCGGGTTCAGCAACCGCCGCCTCTGTCCTCCCCTCACCCGTAGTCCGCAGGCAGGGCGGCTGGCCAGCAACCATGGGATGGAGAACTTTGGGATGAATAAAGGGAAGGGCTGTAGTCCGAGCCGGGTCCTTGGGCCCTTGGCTTGAGGGGCCTTAACCGCTCTGTGAGCGCCCGGCGTCCGCCCCCTCCCCAGTTTCGAATAACTCTATTGGCTGTTCTGGCTGTCCATCTTGACCGATGACCCCGCCTCTGGGCCTTGCCGGATGAAGGCAGCTCTCCGCAGTGATTGGCTTGCGCCCCTGCCGTTCTTCCGGGCCGCCATAGTGTTTCCTCTCTCTAAGGGGCGGGCGTGTGCGCAAGAGCTGTGGGGATTGGCTTCGGGAACTCAACAGTGGAGCGGCCTGACGTGCTAGGGCCCGCCCTCGCGTGGAGAAGGGCTAAGTTTCCTTCGGTCCGCAGCCCGGCAGGCGGCTTGGAGGTGTATATGGGTGGGGCTCGGGAATCTGGTGCCGAAATGGCCGTAGGATTTCAGTTATTTCTGTGATTATAGATTACAACGTTAATAAAAAGAGAGTGACCAAGCAAGCAGGGAGGTACCATCCTCTTCAGAACGCCTAGCAGCTGGGGAAAAAAATTACTAAACATATTTGCCAGGCGCTCAATGGCTGCAGGGGGGGTTTCACGTACATTCGAATTGAGTCCTCACAAAAATTGGGTGGATAGTTAAGGCAGGAAGTTTGATCCCCGTTTTACAAATTAAAAAAAACAAAACAAAACACGAAGAGGTAAAGTGAGCCCAAGGTCACACGGTGGAGGTGACCTAAAACCAGTTCTTTATCCGCTATTCCTCTTGCTAGTAGTAGTCCACGCAAATGCATCAATAGTGACAAACGAAAAGAATCTAAGTAACTGCTCTTATTTGGGGCGGAGGGTGACTGTTGTAAAACAGCTGCATTTCTGTCTTCCACTGAAAGGGCTCATCCGGTCGGGATTGGTTGTACCCTCTGGGTCCCTCTATTGAGGGAAAACTGTCAGTTCTATCCGTTCTAAGCTGTCGGATTCATTGTTGATCCAGCCCTTGGGACCTTAGACATGTTACAAGTTACAAGGTGCCTTCGTTTGCATCATCTCGTTTAAGCGTCAGCTCTGGTAGGTGGATAGGAATTACTGTCCCCTGTTTATGCGGGAAAGTGAACCTTAGAGAGGTTAAATAGCAGTTAGTATGCAAGCCACCTGTCTTAGAAGTTGAGGAGCAAAGACTCAAATTGAGGTTGGGTTCCAAGTTTCTCATTTTTTCCGAGGAAAGGTGCTTGTTTGTTGTTAGCTTTCCTTCTCTTCAGAGGTATAGCTTCTGCCTTGAAAAGCAGGAGGGGGAGCTCAATGAGAAACCTCATTTTGGGGAGGATTTTTTTTCTTTTTTTTTTTTTTTTGGTCTCCCTCACTGGACCGTTAAATGTTTGGGGGGAAAGATAGCATTCTTTCATCTTTTTATTACTCTCCCCTTCCCACCTTCCTCCACACACATAGCACCTTACAGCCTGGCACCACTGTGTGCTCAGTAATTGTTTTTTCATTGTACCGATGGGCGGGTGGATGAGTGACCAAATATCACAGTAACAAAGATGTCCTTAAATAAGGAAAGGACTGAAGTGGGGAGAGACCCCTAGTTAGTTACTGCAGAGGGCTGAATAGATCTTGTTGTTGATTCGATTTTCAGAGAACACTGTTTCTGTCTTCAGCCAGTTTGTATGTACTTCATCTGCGTTTTTCTCAATTTTAAAGAGAAAAAAATAGAAATTAACAATCTCCTGTTTTCATCAGCAGTGCAGAAGCAGCAATCTGTCCATCCATTAGATCCTTTGATTCTGGAATTTGGGGTCAGGAGTTCCATCTCCAGCCATTTTCTTTAATATCACTTAAGCTAATGCTTTTTAGTTTCTCCTTTCTCTTTCTCCATAGTGTATTTGAAATGCATCAAAGCAGAGGTGCATTTTCAATTTTAAGATTTAAAGAATTGATTCATTTATTTTCTCTGGGAAAACGTTTTTATTTTATTTTATTTATTTATTTGAGAGAGAAAGTGTGAGCGAGAGAGAGAGCGAGAGAGAGCAGGAGCAAGGGGGAGGGGCTGAGGGAGAGGGAGAAGCAGACTCCCCGCTGAACAGGGAGCCCAATGCGGGGCTCGATCCCAGGACCCTGAGATCATGACCTGAGCTGAAGGCAGACACTTAACTGACTGAGCCACCCAGGCGCCCATGGGAAAAAGTTTCTTTCATTATGCCAGTAATTCTGCCAAAAGGTGAAATAGGAGAAATTCTCTCATTAGGATTTACTGAGCATCTGCCACATATTTAGATCTGGGACCTCAGGTAGTTCTGGCTGTTTGACATTTAGAGATTTTGTTTTGTTTCAAAGTGAAAGATGGATAGGAAAAATCATTTGAAATATTTGAGCCCACTTTATGAGAATAATGTGTATCTAGCAGATTTAACTGCTCCATAGCTTAACACATTGCTACAACTTTATTTCTGGGTGAAGGA